ATGTACATTTGAGGTGTGCAGGAGTGCATACCAAAAGTATGTTGCAGTAAAAATATCTTTAAGCACACTTTTTCTCAAGGTGGCAATATTATGGACCCTGGTGATATTATGGACACAGATGTTACGTGTATGGTCAAACCTGCCTAAAAGGGCCACCCAGGGGACTGAGACAAAGTGGTCTTTTTGCACAGGTGGTCCTCTTGGGCAGTTCTTAATGTATAAACAGTATATTAGATAGAGGGAACTAGTTCATGACCTATGCCCAAGAATGGCCTAAGTAAAAAAGGAACAACAAGTTGAACCTAGTTTTTAGTATATACTAGAGGGGATTCAGTCATCAAGCTAACATCTAGCAAAATGCAGTTGTCTCTCAGTAAGACATCTGATAGATGGAAAAACTGTAACAACTAGGAAGAAAAGGACTTTCCTCAACTGTTGGTGCAAAATTTGAGCATTTTTTAGTTGATTCAGAACCAAAATCTTTCTCTTTTTTTGGCAAATCAGAAAAAAAATGAAGAGGCGAATCCAAGAACCAACAAATCAAATTGGTGTGGCCTTATATTGGTAATACCCGCTCCGTTCCTGTCAGCACCACAGTTATAACACACTGCTGATGGATGGTGAGATTAGACTCACGCAGGCACAATAATTAAATCTTCCGACCCCGGGGGGAAGGATAGACTTCGCATGTCGGATCAGGAAAACTGGGGAACAGGCAGACAAGGTTTCAGCTTCATGTGTACATGTATATATAAAACTCTGGCCACGACAATACTATTCGTTGGTTTGTAGATTCACCAAAGATTGAGTGAGTGTGTGAGTAAGTGAGTGAGTGAGTGAGTGAGTGAGTGAGTGAGTGAGTGAGTGAGTGAGAGATAGTGTGTGTGTGTGAGTGAGTGAGTGAGTGAGTGAGTGAGTGAGTGAGCGAGTGAGTGAGTGAGTGAGTGAGTGAGTGAGAGTGAGTGTGTGAGTGAGTGGGTGGGTGAGTTGGTGAGTGAGTGAGTGAGTGAGTGAGTGAGTGAGTGAGATTCAAAAGAAAACTGCCAAATTAAAAGACTAACAGAAAACAGTTTTCCTCCATACTCTGTCTCTCTGGCTACTCGTTAATTTTTACCAAAAATAACTGGCCTGTGCTACAGAGTCTGAGGGGAAAGTCTGTACCTCGGTGCACACAGTTTTAAGAAGTGAAGAAGGTTAAATGCAAGTTTCTTCTCAGCCCTCTATTTTCATCTTGACCGTTTCCTGATTTTTAAATTCTTTCTTAACCTTCATCCAGCTAAGGTAGCCATTTGGCACCAAACTTGCATTTTTGTTATAGGGTTAGGCAGCAGGGAGAAGGTTAATAACCACCACAGTTTCAGCACTAGGGACAGGACCATTAAACTTCAGCCTGCTAAGGTAGCCTTTTGGCATTAAATCTGTATTGGTTACAGGGTTAGGCGGTGGAGAGAAGGTTAACATGTCTTCATGGATAGAAATGTAATTAAGAACCATAGATATCTCTCTTTCATGAGCTTATTGTCCTGAATATAGGGAATAATGTCATGGGCCATTTACTGGGGCTACTTTCAACATCGTATCAATGACCTACTTCTGTGGAATGAAGAATAAATCTCGCGATAAAAGGCTCAAAGGAAGAAAAATTACACAAAAACTGCCTCAGGGCCCCAAATAATTCTTTCTGCTCACGAATGTTCTGCAACAGATTTTTTAGAAATCCAATTTTAACGTCATTTTTTCCCCGAAATGGGCGTTAGACATGCTTGCATCAAATTTTTTAAATACAGAATTATCTGATGATACACAAAATTACTTGCACCAGAGAGATCATTATTGTGTATTACAGAATTTTCCGTTGGACTTGTCAGACTTTTTAAATTTACGATGTACAATTTTAATGGCAGAATTAACAGATTTCATGTTATTATGCAATG